TCAAGACAAAATACATAATCAGCGCCTGAAAGAAATAAGCACATAAAATATCTTGATAATGTTTAAGAATTGTGTCTGTTAAATTTCTATAGTATTGCCTTGTTATGCTACAACTTGCTTTTTCAGTAATACATTTTTACAACAAGTCATTTATAGTATTTTTGTATTTTTATCTTTATTATTTATTAAGTACCATCATTAATTGTACATACTATAATGTAGATAGCAAGATGTAACCAATTTGGTGTCTATATATATATATATATATATATATATATATATATATATATATACATACATACATATATACATATATACATACACACACATATACACACACACACACACACACACACACACGGTGAGTATTTGTGTGATGATGACCTGACAGAGGCAATATAATAATAATAATAATTCTGTATGTCAAGAAAGTTGCAATTTGCTGTAAAACAGGTGAAGTTTTCGGGTTCATCACCACTAGCGACACCTTACACGCTACAAATAACCATTTGATCCATAGTTAATAACAATTAATAATTAACAATTAATAACAATTTCATTAGTGAGCTTTAAATGTCAAAGTTCTGAAGTAAGTTCAGCTGGGTTGAGGGCAATAGTGTTTCTGGTTTTATATCAACAGTCCAGTTTTATCTTACGGTGGCTGTGTTGTGTGCGCTGGAAGCCCAGCTGAGAGTCCTTGTTTAGGCCCATGCCCCACAGCTTGATCACATCTTTGGTCGGGGAGGCGATGAGAGTGAAGCCGTAACCGCAAGCAGCAGAAGAGATCTACAACAGAAGAGCAGCAGGTGAGTTCACTCTTATAAAACTACTTTAACACGTCCACTTTCTCATACTAACTAATCTTCTGTGTGATCTTCATTCATGATGATACATGCTGATATGAATTTGTTTTGCAATAAGAGTAATCTTAGCCTTATCAATTGTGTCCTGCATATTAGGACTGATCTGACAAATGAGCCTCATTCACATGGTAAAAATATTACAGTTGAAGATGGGTAATAAAACACTTGCCCGGCATTGGAATCACATGGTCACATATCCTTGTATACTGAACCAGCTCCAGTAATTTGCCAATAACCAGTAGGCTTAACAAATAATTGAATTTAATGTTACTATTATGCGATTAAAATATTAATCCTCAACCAGTGAATATAATATTAAAATCACCCAATTTGCACTAACGAAATAAATCCTATCCAAATGGGGCTTAAGACATCATTTGTGAGAACTAGAACAGAACAATGATGGCATCAAAAGCCTACTTGATGAATGATTAATAAGGCACACTTACTCATAAAAACAAATAATTAAAAATTCTTTATGTGCCTGATATTTTTATGAAATGTCACTTAACAATAATCACTGGCATGTACTACATATCCTTAAGACCTTAAACCATGAAGCTCAATAAACCAGTGCTGATTTTACCTGCTCTGCCGTCTCTAGCCGGTAAGGTGTAAGCTGGTATTTGCGGGGCTTCTTCCTGCCACTGTCCGGGACCACAAAGCTGGGGATACCCAGAGCACCGGTGAAGCTAAAGCCCCATACAAACACTTTGTGGTTTGGCTTCTTGTGCTGGCCAACATACTGAAAAACTGGACCACTTTTCTCCTGGGGTCTGGATGCTTTACCGAGTGTTGCATAACCACAGATTTGAAGCCCTGTGCTCATGTGTCGAGTGCACAACTGCACACGTGGAAAAACCATCTTGTGGATGACAAAAAAGGCACACATAAAAGTAATGAACAGCTGGTAAATTTAACAGTCTGAAAGGATAATCCAATCCAAGGGTGTTACTTTGTGTTGAAAAGTGGTGGAGACATAAGGTCTGAGATTAGAGATGTGATGAAAGACTACTAAGATGAAGAATAGAAGATATAAATAATATTATTAATATTTTGAGCATTTAACTTAAATTTCCTGCATTCAGGAGACATTTTCTGCACCAATTTATGGTGGAAATGTCTTTATTTATATAAAGGGAAACACAATTAAGGTGGCAGGTGACAATTCAAGGCCCTGCGATGGACTGGCGACCTGTCCAGAGTGTACCCCGCCTTTCGCTCGATGTAAGCTGGGATTGGCTCCTGCCCCCGCGACCCTCTATGCAGGATAAGCGGTTGACGATGGATGGATGGATGGATGAATGGATGGATGGTGACAAATCAAAATATAAAAATATAATGGAATATAATGCAGTAATCAGCAGCTTGTTACTTTTTTGGACAATGCACATGTGGTGGCAAAAAGTGGTGGGGACATATGCCCAGTTTAAATGACACCTATGATCCAATCCACAAATCAAAGGCTTTTGTCACAGTATTGTTTCTGTAAAAATGACATGAGAAGCCATTTTTATACACATATTCATTTTATGGAGAGAGGTTATTTTCATGATTTAAGATTTGCATTAAAATATATCACAACACACCATACTACTACTTACTTATTGTCCTTAGTGTATACTATTACAGGTGTTTTCCTTAGATATACTTAAATCATTGAAAAATAATTTGTTATAATAGACAAATGTTTGCAAACAGCTTGCAACACCTGTGCATAACACAACGTTAAACAATAATGGCACTTTTTGAATGTTAAGCCTGCACAGATGAATCTTTAATCTCCAACCGTACAAATGTTACGTGTATTATCGAGGTAAAATGTAACTGCACAAAATCTCGTTCTGTTATTCTGATAAATAGTGCAAATTAGTCTTTTTCAAAATGAAACGTACGATGTTGGGAGATTATGAAGACTTGGAACAATGTTCAGGGTCTAATGGTAGATTCGGCATGCTGCTCATCTATGAAAGACCTTTATATTTTAATTAAATGTCACATTTGTAACCACCTCCCCATCACGGGCCCCCTTTACTGCTACCGTTAACGTTACTTTTAACAAGTTAGCTACGTAGGTTGACACCACACCGATGACCGATATTACCACGTGAAATCACCAATGTAGGTTAAATTATCCTAAAATAATTATGTTTGGTATATGTGATTAATGCCGAATGAGAAATCAGATACGAATTATTCATTTAAGGCCATACATCATGTTTTAATATTAATATAAGTTTGACAATACAACACGGGGACATTAAATGATTAGTATTATGAACGGAGTTTCACTTCGTGTTCTCTCAGCTTTTCCACATGCAGCACTGAGCTCGGGTGAACTTACCTTCGCGTCTTGTTGATCGGGTTTTATAATGCGTTTCACAAGCTGAAGAACGAACTTATGCTGTACAGAAACTGATGTGAACCAGCTGAAATGATAATGAAATATTTCAACGTCATTTCGCGTGTTTGTTTACCTTTGGTCAACCCAACCCAGGAAGGAAAAATATATTCTTCCTCCCTATTTTATTGTAAATATTAGTCGCGTTAGAGAAGCATTGCGCCACCTATTGATTCGGAGTGTTTGACATAATGTGACATATCAGGACCTTCACCTTCATAGCTGAGAGATATTAGTCATTTCAGTACCCCTGCCCAAAATCAAACCAACTGCTGCAGATGTTATAAGAAAACAAAGACGCAAATAACATATTTTGGGATAAAATTTTTAACAAAATCATTTTTAGTTTGAGACGATGAACCTGATTGTGGATTAGAGGAACTTGAGTGGAGGAAGAAGGATAAATATTTATTGAGAATATTATTGATGGCTTGTAAGAAATCCATAACTAAGAAGAAGAATGGCTAAAAAAAAAAAAAGAAAAACATAGTGTTGATGAATGGATTGACACTGTTTAAGTGTAAAATGTATGAATTTGAGAACACAGAAGAATATGTTTAACCTCCAGATCAGACTTTGTGCAAATGTGCATCAGAAACTCCCATTGTCTGTGTGTGTTTATTTATTATTTTATGTTTGTAAGGTCTTTATGTTCATCTAGTCTTCATTTTGTTTATGTAGTTTATGTGTCCATTCTCTCTTTAAAAATCACTTAAGAGAGAATTTATCAAGATTAAAAAAAGAACTTCAGCTTCTGTTAATTTAAAGTTACCAACAGTCTCTGCACTTTACAGGCTATGAGACCTCACATGTACAAATACAAACACAGGCAGAATCCTACACATAATACTACTACTACTACTACTAATATTAATAATAATAATAATAATAATAATAATAATAGCAAAGCACCTTTCATACAAGAAAATGCAGCTCAGTAGTGCTTTACATTGAAGAAATTATGGGATGTGATGGAGTGAAATATTGCAGATCTTGGTCCTGTCAATTTAAACGTTTTTTAAAATGTCTTGTATTGTAAGCCACTGCATGAGATCAGGACAGAGTGTTACATGAGCAAACTTCAGCTCTGTTTTACTATAGTGTGAAACAGCAGACACCTCATATCACCCGTCCCTTCTAAAAGCAGGTATCTGCAAAGAAGTAGAGACTGTAATCCTTTAAGAGGATCAGGTCTGAGATCCGAGGGAAGGGATAAAGGATCCACTAACTGTCAGTAGTAGCCTGCACATGGCATTTCTGTCATCTTGACAGGGAGAACATGTGTCCATTGGAAATGTGCTGAGCTTTGGGCACTTTGGTGGAGTCTTCATGCCTTTTATGGAACATAAACAGCGATGGAGGCCGAGGCTGCGTACGATTGTTGGAGTAATTTTATACATGTATTGTGAATCTGAGGACAACTGAGAGGAGGAGTTACGGTAAGTCTTTTGTAATAGTGTTACTGTTACATGCTTGAAAAAAGGTCACTGGGTCAAAACTGACCCAATTTTGGTCAATATTGCACTAATGCAACACTGGATTAAAGTTACCCAGCACATGACACACTGTAATAAAGTTAAAAGCAGATATAAAAATATTGTTTTTATTTGGCAACAATGACAACTTCTCCAGTGAAGACATATTTTATTATAACTAATTTTTATTATACTGTCATGAAGAGCTATAGTTGTTGACATATACATATATTGCTTATAATGCTAAATAAGTTGGTTAAAATAAACTGTATAAGATGTGTGCCATTTGCAGTTTTAGGTATGTTATTTTAAACATCACATCTGCGACAGTTTTAGGGTAAAACTTCAGCATCTTGTGTCTAACACTGAGTCACAAATAGCCATATTTATGTACCCCTTGGTTTTGGGTAAAGTTAACCCTGTACTGCATTGGATAAAATTCCACAACGAAATTAATTCAAGTCATTATACATTTGGTAATTGCTTAGTTGCTTGATGGGTCTCTTTACTTTAAGTGTAATGTCATGAAAGTGATATAGCCTTTGTTGATTCTGAAATCATTAAACATTTATATCGACCAGTGAGGATGTATGATGGTGAAATCAATCCAATTGTCTCATCCAGACAGCCATGCCAGTACTGGAGGTGATCTGTAGCCTGATTGGCTGGTTCTGTCTCTACTTGTTGTTCTGCTGTACCTTCACTCAGCGAGGGCCCGAGTGGAACTGTCGACTGGTCACTTTGTCCCACGGGGTCCTCATAGTGCTGCTGACAGCATATGTCGTCTTCATAGACGGACCCTGGCCCCTCACACATGCAGGTCAGTGGTATAAAGTGATGAGCAATATATACAAAAAAAAGTTTAAATAACACTGTAACTTAAATTGAAGTCTATAAATGCAGAAATAAAAAAATATATTAGGTTACTAAACATATGCATATTTGAAATATGTTTGTGTCTCTTTTGATTACAAATCATTCTGTAAATGCTCTGATTGATGCAAAGATTGGTTCTATTATTAGTGGCCTGCCTATTTGCCAGCTTCATGTTCATGTTCTGATTTGAAGGGAAATTTAGTTTGAGTAAACATGAAATCGTCAGGTCACACACCAAAATAGCAACATATAAAAAGAATGAATGCAATTTTAATTTGGGGTTACAATAATTACAATAAAACAAGATCACTGCTCTTACACTACATGCCACTTGGATTGATGATAAATTGCTTTAGAGCACAAAAGGAAATTGCTTTAAGACACAAACAGGCCTTCAGTTTCACTCTTACCCCTAGTGTCTGACCTTTCCCCCCATCTATCCCCCAGGTACAGAAAACACTGAGCTCCAGACCCTCGCGCTGGCCATCTGCCTCGGCTACTTCTTCTTTGACATGGGCTGGTGTGTATGCAGCGGCAGCGAGGGTCCTGTCATGCTGGCGCACCACGCGGGGAGCATCGTGGGCATCCTGCTGGCTCTGCTCATGGGAGTGTCAGGCTGCGAGACCTGTGGAGTTATCTTCGGCAGCGAGATCACCAACCCCCTGCTGCAGACCCGCTGGTTCCTCCGCCAGCTGGGCTTGTATGACAGCCTGCTGGGCGATGCAGTGGACCTACTTTTTATTTTATTATTTGCCACTGTGCGCGTGGGAGTCGGCGCCGTGATGTTTTACTATGAGCTCACCTCTCCCAGGACCACACTCATAATGAAGCTCGGCGGTGTGGCTATGTACGGACTGGCCTGGGTGTTCATGGTGGACATAGCCAGATTTGGCTACAAGAAAAGTAGGGCTAAGTATAAAAGGTGGCTAGAAAACCACAAGCTCAAAGAAATCAACACACAAAAAATGGATGGACTTTCAGACAAGAGCGATTAAAGGAATTCATCTTGAACATAGGTAAACTCAAAAGTTCTTGCAGGGACAAGGGAGTACAAAGCTTGTTTGCTTACATAGTATTGCTTTATGGCACAACAGAAACAGGTGATTGTACTTTGAGTGCACTGAGTAGAGACACTATGGGTAGTATTTAAACTTAAAATCAATACAATTGCTCTGCAGGGATCATGTTTTTACAGCCAGAGGCACAACAATAAAATGGCTGCTTGGTATCCAAAATAGTTTGACAAACAAGTTCTCCCACATCACTGCAGACTTGATGAAATAAGAGTTTTTTAAAAGTTGTATGTAGTATGGATTTGGGACGCAGCTATGATCTCTAACAATAAGCCCTTTTCACAGAAGATATTTTGACATTGTCACAGTGGGAAAAGCACAGGTGTTATGTGTTGGTCAGGCTGCTGGCTCACTGTTAGATGACAATTTTAGAAACACCTGTACCCTTATTATTATTAATTTTTTTTTTACTATGACAAGTTAAAATGTCTGCTGCGAAAAAGCCTTACATTACTACTGCAGTAAAGGCACCAATCAAATCAGCCAAACAACATTTTTTTTAATGTTAATTATATCAACTTTTCACAATAAATGGAAGTGATATATTCCAGTTCCAAATGTAGCACTATTGCATCAACACTTAAAAGGACACCTCAAATGCTTTTCATCTAGAAAAAGGGGCGATGTGTCAAACTGCTTTTCTCTTTTTTACTTTAGACTACCGAGTGTGCTTTGTAAACCAATCTGGTTTTCTAGAGTTCAACTAAAGCTTGTTTTTTTGTTTATGTTGCAAAAGTACTTTTGGCCTAAATCCACAAGCAGACTTAAGTAATCAGTGAAACAGTAGAAGGTACGTATGACTGAGTGTCAACCTTTATACAACATTAATTTAAATGGTTATACTCTGTGGGATTGATGCCGCTGCCATAATATATTCATGCCAGATCTGCATTAAGAGGAAGAAACATTTGTAAGTGATCTTTTCTTGTAGACATCTGCCATGTTTTAACTTTACCTCAATCCACCATCAACTTTTTTCAGCTGCAAAGGAAATCAAACTGAACACCTTTTTGAGTAACATTTGCTAAAAATGGGTTTAGAAAATATTACAGATAAACAAAATATTTTTTAAATATAAAACTAAATATTTGTGACCTCTTTTTGAAGATTTGAACTTTCAGCAGGAACCAGTGGGCTTGGGGGTTGAATGCCTCAGACTTGGTATACAAACACTAACAACACTTACACTAACTTTTTAACATCCGCCTTTAAACATCATCACACAAAAACAATGATGACTGGAGAAAGATATCTTTGGTTCTAAAGCAGGATGTCTGCAAGGTTCACAAAGTTAAATTTAAGACTTAATAAATTGAAGACCTTCTAAGGCCTTTTTGTCTTTTAGAAAACTGAATTCAAGACCTGCAGATACCATATAAAGAAACATATGTTTAGCAAACATATAAACAGGGTTAATAACAATGTCATAAAATAGATAATTTTGAATAGAACATTTATAAATCAGATTAATGCTGAATGGATACTTTACCCTCTTTTTAAGTAGTTTGTGTTAAAACATTACATGATTGCATGGTGTAAAAAACAACAACACTCAAAACCATTGATATAGAGTCATAATTGTACATTATATTCCTTTACATTGAAAACAGTATATAATAATCATTTGTGACTATATATTCTTTTCAGGTTTGTTTTTTCTTTTTAAATTTTCGCATATCCAAAAATCAAAGTCATCTGTGCAGTCTTGTGGCCAGTGAATATTTGAGTCTTTTCAGCCCAACCATTAAAGTGAAGAGCAGAGGATTTATGAGTGAATCTTTGTAGCTTGCGTCTGAAGGGATGCATATGTCAAAGAACTGGAGAGACGACACGTATAACAGGCTGGTGTTTCAAGCTGATGATAACTTTCAGGAGTAGCTTGTTGCAGAAACTGAAATGATCCTTGAGAAAACCTCCTCACAATATTTCAGGGGAATAAAGACACTAGTTATGAAGATAATAATTTTTAGTCTTTCGTGCTCTTTAAATAAAGCTGCCTTGCCTTGATGATGTACAAAAGAGGGCAAAAGAACTGCACTCAGGTTAGTCAATCACCTCACAATCATGGAGGGCAGTGAAAGTAAGAAAACAGGTGAGGAATTAGAAATGGAAAATAAATTCTACACTAAAGTTTAGTCTCTTGCTCCCTCTAAAATATATGAGAAAGTGAGATCTTGATTTCTGTATTTCTATGTGCATTCATTAGTAAGCACTACCTCATCTGCTTCCTTACTGCATCGTGCCAAACGCCATTTGAATAATGTAGATATTTAATACACAAACACTTAAAGGATGTTCTGGTTTTACCTCCACCTGTGTGTTAATCCTTCTGTACTATTTCTTGATTTGTTGGCAAGACATGAATTTGGCGGAACGCTGGTGAACTGTAGACAGAGTTTATTAGATTTTGGCAGGGATCTGGATCTAGATTTGTTTGTTATGCTACATTCAAGTGCTATAGGAAAATTTCAACTTCAAAGTCAGCTGCTAAACAACATTTGATTTATACGCTATTTGCTCAGACATTCAAACCAAGAGGACAGCCAGTTAACAAACAGTACTGGAACTGTCAAAGGGTTTAGCTCTGCAAATAGAACAAATCTTCATTTGATATTTGTGGCCAGACCCCAAATAAATAAAGTTCAGTCCATCAACCCAGACAACAAATTAGCCTCTTATAACCATTTTAAAATTATTCATGTGTTTTCTGATAAATATGCTTGTTTGCTTTCTTTCCAAGTGAGACAAAGACAAAGAGCAATATTACGGTCATGTGCGTGAAGTATGAGGCTGGATTCAGGACACAGTTAGCCTAGCTTAGCACAAACACTATAACTACAGGGGGATCAGCTAACATGGCTCTGTTTAAAAATATGCCTACAAACACCTCTAAAATTCACTAATGAACAATAACACACACACACATAAACATAAATGTAAAAACAATTGTGTTTTTAGTTGGCATTACAACAGTTTATCCATCCGTCCAGCGCCTCCAGCTAAAGCATGGGTTGCCATATACGATCGGTGAGCAAAGGTTTTGGTCTCTGTTTTGTTACCAAACCTGGCAACCTCACTCCGCCAGGTTGTTGTTCATCATGTACATTATATTTCCAGCAAGTGAATCCCCCTAAAACCAAAACTGTAATTTCTGCTTGTGTATGGAAACAAGATACAACATGATAATTAGTGAACTCTAGAGGTGTTTTTTTGGGGTGGGGCATTTAACGGTTATTAATCAGTGCTGTTACAAAGTGAGGAAGTCTATCTTAAAGCATGTTCGTCTATATGCTAGGCTGAATATGCACAGAAGAGGTTATCTCTTATTTCTTTCTGCAGACTTTTATATGAAGCTTACAGCAGTGAGTCCTGAACAAGACAATCTACCTTCTTGATCCTCGGAGAATCATTCTGGTCACTGTCACAGTCTCTTTTTATTTTTTAACGCGTCTCTGCTGTACATCTGTGTGACTTCAAACACTTTCCCCCTTCATATCTCCAGTGTTTTAGATAATTTATGCAGCTAGTTATTATTATAGCAAAAAGCGACTGAATTGTCCTCAGGTAACTCCACAGATCCTCCGCAGAAGGATTTTGAGTTCATAGTGGAATGTTCCTAATAATCATGATTACGTCTTCCACTGATACATGCCTGAAGTGGGAGATCAGACAATAAGCTTCCATTATGTGGAAACATCAGTGGTCAAGGATTCATTCAGAAGAAACTTGGCCCATTCAACCAAGAAAGTCCAGGAAGTCTTTCATCATTGTAACCCATCTGAAAAATATAAGAGAGAGTGTTTGAGATTCCCTGTTAATGTACAAAAAAATATATGTGTATGAGAAGTTAACGAAAATAAGCGGATTGTTCCAAGTGACTGGGAGAAGTGAAACACACCATTGGTTGTCATCTGAGTCAGTAGCCAGGTCACTGTGTGTTTGTCGCATCTCGTTGTACTTCATCTCCACCTCCTGGAAGCAGATCATCACAACAAAACTCGCTGTGGTCCAAAGATCAGAGGTACTGTACTATGAATCAGGATTTGACGCTGCCTACTGGCCAATCAGTTCTCTTGGAAAGAGCTCACCATTCATAGAAGATCCCACAGACTTTTTTTTTACTTTAATGTAAGCTGTGGGTGATACAGACGTATTTTTGTACACCGATATCTTCCTACAACAGAGACTGATTGAAGTGGCAGCTGTGTTGTTGCTAACCTGGATTATGTTTTTAACTTCTTCATTGCAGCTCTGTCCATGTTTGCGATTGGTCATCTGCTGCAAACACCGCCCCTTGAATGTGAGAACACTTATGGCTGTATTGGTAAACCCTGGGTTGAATTACCAAGCTGATAACTATAGTTGTGTGACCGCTTTGCGTAATCGCCATTGATAGGCTTAATGAAGCCAGATAATGAAAAGCTACGGGTACGCTGAACTTGCTTCGTAGTACAGGCCCCAGGCAAAGCTACAGCTAAACAAACAAGCTAAGATGCACATGCTTAAATGATGGAATCAATAGACGAATGAGGCAAAATGCAAAAATGCTATGTAGTGGAATGACTTCACACACTGCCTCGGCATTACTGAGCAGCTTCCGTCAGTTTATCGCCGTGAGACTAGAGGCTTTTATCTTCAGTAGGTTATCAATAACATGCTAATATTTCGTTGGAAGTACTAGTGTTAAAAAACTATTTAAAATTTTAACGAGATAAATCTGCTGAAACCAACTTTTGTTTGCTGGTCTCTGATGGTTATATACTGGTGTCTTGCTTAGGGTTGAAGGTTTTCCAGTGATTTAAAAATGATGACTTCTTGGGAACAACATTTGTGTGTGTGTAACAGCAGCTAACGACAACAGGATGTCACTTCACTGTGCAGTACCTTCAGATACTGCAGGTCGGCCTGTAGGAGGCGTAGGTGGGTCATAAGCTGCCTGCTGAGGTTAGGGCCGCCGCCCTCTGTCTGCGAGGAGGAGGACAGCAGTTTCCGCATATCGATTCCCACATCACATGCAACTCCCACATCATCATCAGTGCTGTTTTCCTCAGAGACCCCACTGAAATCCATAACCACAAAACCACCTGGAAGGATAAGCAGAGCTGGGAAATAGTTAAAGGTTTTGGGAAATACACTCATTCCCTTTTGTCAAACTCTCCATACCAGCACATCTAATGATTATTAATTAACAGAATTTATTGTGTGCATTTAACCACTACAACAACAGAAATGTAAAATCTTCAAGTTGCCTACAGCTGTTTCCAGTCTTGCTAAGCTAAGCTAGCCTTACAGACAGCAGGCAGTATCAATATTCTCATCTAACTCTCAACTAGAAAGGGGATAAGCGCAATTGCCAAAATGTCGAACTATTCCTTTAATCCATCAGCATTTAAAAACTGTGTTAGGATTCACCCTCACCATTGTGTTCAGTTGGCTCAGGCAGACCTGTGCGTCCTGAGAGGAGCTGAGGGTTGTCTTTCTGTGAGCTTGCAGATGCTTGGCTCTCATCACTGGCAGCAGAGGGCCCCTCAGGGCTCCCAGGCAGAGAGGCACTGAGTAGACACCCAGGGGCCCTACTCTGCTTGTTCTCCTCCTCTGCCTCTCTGCTTATAATGTGGTTGAAAAGAGCCTGCTTCAGCATCGCCACTAGAAGAGAGAAACATTTAGTTAATGTCATTGCATAGGCTTTACACTTTTATGCCAATTGTGACCCAAATACCTCAAAACATATTTTTGTAATTTAGGTGAACTGACCCTTTAACCTGGAACTTACATGTCTTGAGAGCCTCTTCGCCTTTGGAGGAGGGTAAGACAAACGCATTGTGCTCTTGGTTTTCAAGGGCGATGCCCTGACGTGACCCTTCCTGCAGGAAGGGCAGTCTGTCTGCCAGCTGCCCGTCAAGAAAAGCCTCTAGTTCTGCTTCATCCACCTCTTCATCCTCCTCATCTTCCTCCTCCTCCTGTCTGTCTGCTATGGCCAGCTCCTCTTCCTCGTCTTCTGATTTCATGTCATCAAAAGGGTTCATACTCGGTGGAGACTGAATGTCTGGAGAAGAGGTGGCATCTTTATCTTGGATGCCTTGAGATTGGATTTAAAGGGTGATAGTGTACATTGAGAATACAACAAAAAACAATATTTAGAGTGCAGTTTTTAATCTGATTTAAAATTTTAAATACTTCTATGCAGTATATATGGATATGATTTATGTCAGCCTCAAATTCAAATATTCTGCTGAGGAGACTAATGGAGATACTCAATGGATGCGGAACTAATTATTATTTTAATTAATTATATTTTTAATTGACAATTTACACTATAAACAGAAAGAGCTTCCCTACAATTTAAAAAATCATCTTCAAATTGCTTGTTTTGTTTAAAACCCAAAGATATTCAGTTTAAAATTACAAGCAGAAAATCTACACAAATGTTTTTCAAAATTTCTTCGTTGCTCGACTAACTAATTAATAAACTAAATGTTTCAACACACACAAAGTTATTCAAGCACAGCTACAGTACCTGAAGAATGGATGCTTCCACTTGATGTGCGGTCAGGTTCTTTGCTCTCCTTAGACATCCCATGTTTGATGATCTCAATAGCGTCCCGCTCAGCACTGAAATACACTCACATTAGAAACAATAAAAACAATATAAATACAACCATATCAGTAAGTAAGAGGCTGCGTTAGTAGACTCACTCAGATTGAGCTGCAGGTGTGTCTCTGTTATGAGGTTGGGACTTCATGGCGTCAGCACATTGCGTGATCAAACACTGCCACCTGGATGAATCGAGGTGATACAGCAGGATGAGACGGAGGGAGTAGATGACATGTAGCCATTTCGTGGTGCAAAACTTACGTTCTCTGATCTGACACCGTCTGAGCCATCAGCTCATAGATCTGAGCCCCGTTTTCCGACATGGACAGCACAAAGAAAGACCTGTTGTCTGATGAGGGCAAAAATGCGAACAATTATTACATGACAGTTACATATACATACATAATACTTAATATACACTGTATAAAATAATAATCTTTTATTTATAGAGCACTTTTTTTTTACATCCATGTTACAAAGTGCTTTACAAAGACAGCAAAATAAAATGTCGTAAAAAAGTCATAAGTTGTCTGGTTATAAAAGAAAACATTTTTAACTCAAGTAAAATCAGGAAAGCTCTAAGTTTTAAGAAGGAACTTCAATGAGATTTTTATGAAAATATTGTAAGCCAGGCTCAGGTGTGATGAAGAACTTTCGGAGACTGATTTCGAAGACTTACAGAGCAAGGTTTATTGAGACTAGGCTGAACACATGCAATGAAAACACCAAACCTGAAGAATAATTCCTGTCTGGAGATATTTATCCTTCCTAGATCAGCAGGCACTCACTAACTGTCCAAATAAGGTTATTGTTCACCCCTCTATATATGTGTGAAGAGTCGATTATTGGTTCAAATCAAGACATGCTGTGCGTCATTCAAGCAACAGTCACTCAACAAGCATGCAGAAGAGAGAAACAGAGTCCGCGCTACTGTTTTGGAGAGTTCAGCAAAACCTCAGCAATTTACCCTATCATAACCTGTGTCATAGCAACACTAAACTCCTTCACAGAGATCACTGACTCAGCTGAACTGATTTCCTCAGGCCAGCTATTCCAGAGCATCAGTGCTCTGACTGCAAAGACTCAATACAAAATACATCTGCCCAAGGATCTTAAGAGAATATGCCGGTTCATATGGTACTTAAAGGTCAGAGATATAACAGGGCGAGAGGCAATGAAAAGCCTTAAAAGGTAATCAGTAAAATTTTAAAATCTATTCTAAAAACTTCGATTGCACAGGCTTTGTGGTGTGCTGCTCTTCACTTAAATTACTGTCAAACCAGATGCCAAGATTCCTTGCAACAGCCTTAATATGTTCCAATAGGGAACCAGCAAATAGCACAACTTGTTTTGTGCTGGGTCCCAATAACAAGGTTTTGTGTTTTGTCCGAGATTAACTCGAGGAAAGTTTTTCCACATACATCTGTGAATCAGCAGCATAAACATGGATAGAGACACCATGTTTCTAAATAATGTGCTGAAGGGGAAGCATGTAAAAGAAGAGGCACACCATACTTAACAGAACAAAATGAAGAGACAGTTGTTTGAGACACAGAACCACCTATTCGACAGGTAAAATGAAAACCATTCTAAGACTGTACAAGATATCCCCACCCTGTGCCTCAGTCTGTCTAACAGGATGCTGTGATTGATCACGTCGTAGCAGTGGGTTCACACAGGAAGTTTTAAATCAGGGACACAACCAGTAGACAAGGAACTGTTTAAAACAGAAAGCAAACAGGGCCTGACAGATTCAATTTCCTGTAGTGAGACCTTTGTTGGTATTACATCAAGAGGACTGGAAGACTGTCTCATATGCTATACTATTTCAGACCAGGTAATGGGATAAAACTGGTTTAAACTATTTTGTTGCGGGTAAGGCACAGCAGAATAAGAGGCAATGAGGGTAAAGGAGCACCTGGTGCAGCCAGTCTGGAGCTCAACGCTCTGAAAACAGTGGAGATGATTGTAGATTTTAGTAACAGCCCAGCCCCACCCTCCCCCATCATCCTGGGTGACTCCCCAGTTGGGACTGTGGACTCCTTCCACTTCCTGGGCACCATCATCTCCCAAGACCCCAAGTGGCAAAAAGGCCCTCCAGAGGATGTACGTCCTGCGGCAGCTGAAGAAGTTCAGCCTGCCAAAGACAATGATGGTGCACTTCTACACCGCCATCATTGAGTCCATCCTCACCTCCTCCATCACCATCTGGTACGCTGCTGCCACTGCCAGGGACAAGGGCAGGCTGCAGCGTATCATTCGGTCTGCAGAGAAGGTTATTGGTTGTCACCTTCCGTCTCTTCAGGACCTGTACGGCTCCAGGACTCTGAGGTGTGCAGGAAAGATTGTGGCTGACCCCTCCCATCCCAGACACAAACCGTTTCAGACTCTCCCCTCTGGCAGGAGGCTGAGGTCATCAGGACCAAAACCTCTCTCCACAATAACAGTTTCTTTCCGATTGCAGTGGGCTTCCCAACTAGGCCGGGTCCCCACTGTCACTCACTCTCATGCCCCCCCTCCCCAAACACACACACACAAACACTCCTGACCCCACACTTTACACCAACGCTCAACTTTATGCACATGTTGTGAATTTTTGCACATATTTGTCAGCATTGTATTATAGTATTATTGTAATTTTTGTATACTTGTACATTTTTTGATCTTTCTTTTTATATATTTATATTTATGTTCATGTGTACTGTAACCAACAATTTATACCAAGGCAATAGTTGTATCTGTCAATCTAATGGTGGCATTGGATTTTAGGGAATCATCTAAATCATTGGGACTCATCACCTGGGAAACAGGAATTGAAGTACATATATTCCTTGCAGTCCATCCAGTAGTGTATTAGATTTGAGTCTGGACCAGTGTTGTGGACCAACTGACACTACCATCCCAAGAGCCGTGCTGCTACCAAGAACCATTATGACACTGAGGACTGATTCACTAAACCATAAAGATTCAGTGAAAAACCAGATGGGTGTAGGGTAGTTCTTACCAGTTGCCACTGGCCGAACCAAGACAGTGTTGAGTTTGATGATGGGGCTGAAGATTTGTTTGGTGTCTGCAGCACTGGCCAGATTCTTGCCGTGGAATTTGAGGACCAGACGCTCGTCCTGTTTCTGCAGTAAAACCAGAATGTCCTCCAGGAGGATCGTGTACAGCTCTGAAAGGAAGACACTGGTAATGTAAAACTGTGTGTATACTTTATGTACAGTATAAAATACAAACATATACGCACACACACTACATATTGTAAATGCAGTATACTGTAAACTGACTTTTTTGTTAAGGCTTTATTGATCTTTTAAGACAGATTTTTCCTCTCAGGGAGCCATCTGTTTTAATTAATGTCATTACGTCACAAACTAAAGAACGTTTACTGAAGCTATAGCTGTTGTTTTTTCATGTGCACATCCTCTATTCATACACTGGAAAGTTTATACTGTATTTTTTAAATATCATTCTCATATAAAGGTGTATGGACGCACCAATTGCCTTGTCTTTGTTGACTTTCCAGGAGAGAGGTCCCTCATGCACCATCTTCCGCTTGGTCAGGTCCAGATTCTGTAGGACGAGAAGTGACTTTCAATAAAAGCAGTGGCTTCATTAATAACCTCAACATGTCGCCATCTCTCATTACTAGAGATATTGGTCCTTTGTGTAAAAGGGACTATAATGAATCAGACATGCATTTACAACTTTTGTTTAATTTGATTGCACACGAGAAAGCCTTTAAGTTCATCAACCGATATGTTCAGAGAATCAGGGATGATAATTAGTTTCTTACCTTCAGCTCCAGGATCATGGGGTTTTCACTCTGTTTGAGTGACGAGAGGTCTAACCTTCTCTGATACTCCTCTAGCCTCTGGTGAGACAGAACACAACTCATTAAATGCTTTTCAACCCTTGGAAACTAGCAAAGGTTTTTATTTTATGAAAATCCCCAAACCTCCAGTGTGAACTTAAATACCACTTTAACCCTAGCTGATTGATATTTTCCAACGATTAATATATCTGTACCTGTTTGTTCTCAGCCTCTTTGACAGCCTGGTTGACATGGTTAAGGATCTTTTTGCAACATTCTCCAGCTTTCTTCACTTTTTCCCTCTCCTCACCATCTTCTGTGGGAAGATAAACAAACATAACTAACAGTTGCAAAAGTTATTCATTGTCCTTGATGAATCATCTAATATATTACCAATATTATGGGCAAAGAGGCATATTTGCACCTGTGCAGTTTATACCTGTGTACTTGGCAATGTTGTCCAGCAGAAGTGGGTACTTGGTCACTCTCTGCATCTCTACAGGAATGATGTCTTTAAGCTGCAGCCGGCGACACAGACGGTTGCTCTCAGCTTCCTAAAGAAAGACAGTAAGTACAAATTAGGAGGGTCAACATCTAAAACCTCCATAACAGATAAGTTTTGATACAATCAACAGATCTGATATTTAATTAGAGCTTATTATTTAAATAAAACTGGGTGAAAAAAAAAAATATATATATATATATATGATTTAATAAAAATAAGTAATACATAAATACTGTTTTACTGTGTTTTTTAACCTGCTGTGATTTCTTGCATCAGGAATGTTTTGGGTGCATGAGGAGAGAAAATATTACTTAAAATTTCCTTAAAAAGAAAAAAAGATATTTACTTGGGTGGAAATCAATTTAATCAACAAGCTCCTTCTCAAAATTATATTTATATTTTTTGTAGAAGAAAAGTGAGCTGTACATGTGAGCATATAAAAGTTTCTAGTTGGACTCAAAACACAAATATACAATTATAATAATATTACTGTTGGTTGGTAACCTCTATTCATATTAACATAGAATTAAAATTAATTTTCAGTGATAATATCAGCTAATTTATATTTGCCTATCATGTATTACAATTGAGAAAAATTATTGAACATAACAAAATGAAGCCTTAAACAACGTATCTCACGGTCTTCATGTGCAGACCTTGTAAGTGGACCTTGAGTTAAGATTATGTTGTCAAACTATTATTTCTCTCTCATTACACTATTCATTTATAAACTCATTGTCCTCTCATAATGAACACATTTATTCAAACTTTTTACTGAATGTAAGAATTCAAACAAACTATGATGAGAGAAGGTAGACAGGATAAAGTCGTCTTGGTACGTTCACTACATCAAATCTACATGGTTTAATGAATTTACTGTGCTGACCTGCATGAATAACGTGAACCTCTGGTCTTTCTTCTGCCTGGTCTTGATGAGCTCCAGTGCAGACGGCTGGTTACTACAGAAAGTTCCCACTGCTCTTTTTATCTTCTCCTCTTCCTCCCCGCTGAACTGGAATCAACACACACACACACACACACACACAAATTGTCTGTTGATTTTGTTTGCGGTTAATGCAAACAAAAACACATCTTGCATCTTCCTGTGGTCTTCATAAATTAAGGATGATGTACATTCCCTCAGCTCTAGATTCATCAGAGCAACAACAGAGTCATGAATAGTGTCCAAACTGCTGCTCTGAGTTTCACTTATCCAACAGAAATAATTCTATTCAATCAATAATTAATCTCTTAATTTACTGTTTTTGACTTTGACTACTATTGACTTTGTTGACTGCTTTATTGACTACTGTCAATAAAACTCAACACATCCTGCACGGATGTTTCATATTAAAAGCCTTCCAGCTGCTGAAAGGGCAGACTCCCTTCCCCTGTCATTATTTAAAACTGTCTTTTATTTGAGAATTTGTGGTAATTTGGACTTTTATGACACATCAACAGAAGAAAAAAAACTAGGGTTAGGGGTTAGGGAGACTTGTTGGTTGGATATGTCAAAAAGGCAACAATAACAATACCAATGCACCAAACACATGGTTCATAATATAATACCCACACTGATGTGTGGTAATGTTGACTATTTCCAGCTTTTTTAGTAGTTGACAATTTCCTTACAGTCCTTCTTTTGGGGCCTGGGGAAGGTGTAGACTACCATGTTTCACAAGGAGGCTCCTGTTTCTGCCAAGAATCAAACTTCTCTGTGAGATTATGCAAGGAAGCTGTGGTGTTTTTATGATTAGTTTTTATGTTACAGGAATAGAAGAAATAAAGTCCTGCACACTGTCTACTTCACTTGTTCATTGTAGATCTGTTAATCCTAACGTAAACCTCCTTGGACAAAGGGTTGGTACTAAAACGCAATGCCTAATAAATCATAATCTGTTTGACTTTTAGTTCTCTCTTGCAGCTGCCTTTGTATCATACAGGTATGCCAACATTTCACTACACCCTGTGCTAAAGCTTTTAATCTGCCTCCTGCATGAATTGAAACTCATCTTACCCATGCCAGGAGATCATCTGCAATCTGACCGATCACAGATGTCTCACTCCTCTTCCTGATTGCTGTCATTTGCTCTGTTATAGAAACTGTGGAGCAAAGTGAGAAGAAATTCTGAAATACAAACATTCAGTATCTCATTGTTGTTGTTCCTGACATTTCAGATACTTGCTCTTCATGTTTTGCAGTGTTTATATCTTTCTTATCAGCAATAAACGATGTATCCATTGCACACTTACAAAATTACAAACATCATTCCAACCATGAAACTAACTAAGCATAACAGAAATCATTTTGCCATGTGCATGTTCAAAGGCAGTAGCCTCATTATTTTTGGCAGCGTGTCATATTATTACAACATAAACTTCCTAAGAGCATAGAAATGGAGCTCTTGTGTTTACACATGATATTATTATGCGATCTATGTCTGGATACATTATCTGGTTAATGACTTTGACTAATAATTCTATGATTTGTGCTTATCCCTGTGTGACTTGTGGGGCAGTAGTGTGTGTGGATGACGTTACCATGCAGCTGAATGATTTCCTCCAGGTTAATAAAGATGTGTTTGATATCTTCTGGCGGGAGGATAGCATCTCTGCTCAACCTCTGGTTGAAAACACAGTCCAACACTTTCAGCATCCGCAAGTGGGCACGCTCAGTGTAGAACAGCTCTATGGGTGGACAGATGCAGACATGTATGAGATATACTGTATGTATACGTCAAACTTTTTTTTAATGTCACTCTCTGAAATGTTTTGTGACTGCGATTTACCATTGATGACTTCCTGCCGCTTGATCTCCTGTTGCGTTAAGCTTGCCAGGACACCTCGGCTGACCAGACTCTGCCAGTTCACGGGGTCCTCTTCAAACTCCATCTCACCTCCCTGATCGTCTTCACTCTGGATGTCAGCTGAACTCACCGGACACTGCACCTCCATCCTAGTGCCAGCCGAAGACAGAGGTAGAAAGGCTGTTAAAAAGATAGCAGTGGTAGAACGAAAGGGTACATGGGGGATTTAATATGTCATTAAATTCTTTATTTATCACACTAAACTCTCCAAAAAATAGTTTCATTAATTATTTTGACAAAAATTATGCCACATTCTCTCCCACTTTGATGGGTTATTTGTACTTTTACAATCATTAATGAGCTGAAATGATTAATTCATCTGTATCTATTTTCATAATCGATGAATGATTTCAGTTTGCTGGCTCCAGCTTCCAGCAAGCTGGAATTGCAGGTTTTATTTGTCTTATGTCTCCGTAAACTGAATATCTTTGGACTAAAGAATCAAAAATAATCAGCAGATTGATCAATAATGAACATAATTGTTAGTTGCAGCCCTACATTAATGTACTAGTAATGAACTCTTGTGCCCTCCAGATAAATCCCAACTGAACATGTCATTAGAGCTGTCAAACTGCAACTAAAAGGCGAAATTACCTGTATGGTGACAGTATATTCTGTTAAGATGTAGTGACATGGTTAAAGTTGCTCTAAAGAATTAAGCCAGCACCCCACACTTCCTTCTTGCGTCATTGGTGAAGTGGGACAATTAAGAGAAAATCCAAACCCCTTAAATACCTGAAAGGCTCCTGGTCTTCCTCTTGTAACTGCTCCAGGTTGGAGGGGCTGAAGTCAAACGGAGTGCTGGTCGGACTGAAGACTCCGTCCTGATGGTCGCCAGACTGCAGACTCTCTCCCAGTCTGGGCTGGATGCAGAATGGAGACGCATCTGTAGAGAAAAGAGGAGAGCAATGCAATACAGAGGAAATAAAGAAAACCAGGTGACAATTATACCATTGCATAGTACAATTTTTATTCTGACAGTGGTAAGTTGCACAACTAATGGCACTAAAGAATTGTTGCTATGGTATTGATATGGTACAGCCAGGATACCCCTGATAGTCTTACTTTTAGTCTCATAATCCAATAATTACAACAAAATCTAAGATTTCCAAAATACAATTTAAATATATAGCGAAAAAAGGTTATAATGACAAGAAGGCTGAATATTTTGAAAACGGCACATTATTTAAAGTTTGTTGGACATTTTTGCAATCCTTTCTTCTTTCTTTTTCCTCTTGGGGCCTCTAAAAAGTATTCAAATTAAACAACCTGAAAAAAGGAGAGGAAGAGAAATTGGTACATCTTACTGGAGTCTGAGTCTTGTCCACTGGTATCTGAGGCCTGACCGGTGGACGAGCTGTGTGTAGGGGAGGTGGTGGAGGGAAAAAATTGTGTGCCGTTGTCCGATCCTTCACTGAGCTGATTTCCACGGATCCGTCCAGAATTCGAGGAAGAGTCAGACTGTTCAGGGATGCCGATGGCTGGCTGAGAGGGCTGTTTTGGTGACCGCTGCTTGTTTATCTCCACGGCCTTACCGACTACACACAAACCCAAGTGCACAAACATGCATGTATATAAGGATAGAAAAAACATGGGCAAGTAAATCCACCACATTCACCAACAGTGATAACATCTATTACACACTCAGATATACACCAATACACATCTTTCCTACCTTTAGAATTTTTTTAATAGCATTTGTGCTCTTTTTACTGTTTTTTACCAGTTGCCTTACTCTGAATTAATGATAGTGGGTAGTTTTAAAACAACAAACTGAAGTTTGCTCCTCACCTGAAGTGGAATCTACTCTGCTCAGACGCCGTGGCGGGCCGAGGATGTTGGGAAACCGAGGCTTTTTTACCTTCTCCTCACCTTCCTTCTCAGGCTTGATACTCTTCTGCTTGTTAAAGTAACACATAGTTGCCTTTTAAATGTTTACTTGAAGGACAGCATTTCAAACATATTGTAAAAGTTCAATATAACAAGGGACCGGACCTTAATCTTAGGCAGGAAATTGATGCGCGCTCGTTTATGTTCGAGGCCGCGAGGCTCCTTTGCTTTCACCCCAAGGTGCTTCATATAGGTGTGAATCACATACTGCATTGTTTGGCTGCAACATGACAGGACACACAGTCAAGAAAAAAAGGCAGATTGTTATTTACTGTATAGCATTATTTACAAATCTGTAGGGTTCAACTGCAAATGCCTTTATTACACAACAATGTATTAATGATCCTAATACTTCCATTACAGATAATAGTGATGATAATAATAGTAGAATACAGTATTATTAATCTCTAACATTATTATGCACACTCATATTAGCTTTTCTATATTACAGACATACAAAAGACTCAACAAAAACAACAGTTGTATACCTGAACAGAAACTAAAACAGAAATTACACTGACTGTCCTGCAACTGACTTCCTCCTCTTACCACTTCTCCTCTTCTGTGGGATGAGATGTCAACCTGCAAAAGGCAGCTCAGGGTTAGCACACGCACAATAAAACAAGGTTTATAGGTCCGAGTGTGCTCAGGGACTCACAAGATATCCTCTATCTTGGAGAGGATGTGTTCAGCACAGGAGCATTCCTTCTCCAAGGCCTGCTGATCTTTTCCACGCTCCAAGTCCAGCTTCGACAGCTCGTTTTCAGCCAGAGTCAGACCCATGCTGCGCTTCTGTCTGCACACACATAAACATAAAGAGAGGTACACAAATAACATCATTCACAGAGATATAGATATAGATATATAGAGATATTACCTTCTTACAACTAACCTACAGTATAACAGACTTCGGTCAAGTTCGATCATTATTGTCACAGTGGTTATATAGTTCTGTGACTCTTACCTGAAATCATCCAGGTTCTTGTGCAGGTCTGGTAAGAGTGTGTCCTGTAACACCTGGGTATACTGTTTGCAGAGCTCCTCTGGGATTAACTCCAACCTCCGCTTCTCTGTGCAGAGACACAAACACACAAAATAGTCCACCCCAGGAATAATTAAGAAAGCAGGCACAATAACATTTATGAATCTTTCTGAAAAGACGCTTCGTCTATGTGTCTGTCCACCTCTTTGAACTACTTGTCTGATTCCTTAATTGTGGTAAAATATTCTGAACTGACGTTAGAGATGTCCCGATGAAACACTACAACAGTATCTGATACTGACCTTATTAGTCAATTTGGATACCTGCCATGATATGACTGATCCACATTAAACACAATTTCTTTGTCATAAAATCAGTTTTTTCCACAGTTGTCATATTTTAAAGCCTTTGATATCCCCGGCCTCATGTTTCCTTACACAAATAGAATTAAAATGAGGTCCTCACAGTGAGGTACGCAGGTTTATACACTTATTTAGGAGGAAAAGATCACCGGTGTCAGTAAATAATTTGTGGAGAGAAAAGGTAAGATACAGCATTCTTAACTCATAGTCTTTTCTGAAACTCTCAACTACACTGAACAAAATTATAAACGCCAACACTTTTGTTTTTGCCCCATTCATCATGAGCTGAACTCAGAGATCTAAGACTTTCTCTATGTACACAAAAGGCCTGTTTCTCTCAAACATTGTTCACAAATCTGACAAAATCTGTGTTAGTGAGCACTTCCCCTTTGCCGAGAAAATCCATTCAACTCACAGATGTGGCATATCAAGATGCTGATCGGACAGTATGGGTATTGCCTTAGGTTGGCCACAATAAAAGGCCACTTGAAAATTTGCGGTTTCGCTGTATTGGGGGGGTCCAGAGGGGTCCGGAAACCAGTCAGTATCTGGTGCGACCACCATTTGCCTCACGCAGTGCAACACATCAGGTTGTTGATTGTGGCCTGTGGAACGTTGGTCCACTCCCCTTCAATGGCTGTGCGAAGTTACAGTCAGGTCGAGATCCCGATGAGGACGATGAGCATGCAGATGAGCTTCCCTGAGACGGTTCCTGACAGTTTGTGCAGAAAGTCTTTGGTTACGCAAACTGATTGTTGCAGCAGCTGTTCGGGTGGCTGGTCTCAGACAATATTGGAGGTGAAGATGGTAGATGTGGAGGTCCTGGGCTAGTGTGGTTACCCGTGGTCTGTGGTTGTGAGGACGGTTGGATGTACTGGCAAATTCTCTAAAGATGTACTGCCATATTTTCTGAAACGCCTTTGGAGACGGCTTATGGTAGAGAAATGAACATTCAATAAACAGCCAACGGCTCTGGTGGACATTCCTGCAGTCAGCATGCCAATTGCGCGTTCCCTCAAAACTTGCGACATCTGTGGCATTGTGCTGTGTGATGGAACTGCACATTTTCGAGTGGCCTTTTATTGTGGCCAGCCTAAGGCACACCTGTCTGATCAGCATCTTGATATGCCACACCTGTGAGATGGATGGATTATCTCGGCAAAGGAGAAGTGCTCACTAACACAGATTTTGACAGATTTGTGAACAATATTTGAGAGAAATAGGCCTTTTGTGTACATAGAGAAAGTCTTAGATCTTTGAGTTCAGCTCATGATAAATGGTGGCAAAAACAAGTGTTGCGTTTATAATTTTGTTCAGTGTATATCTCACATAAACAAAACCCAAATGCGAAATGGCAGGTTGCCAAAATTTACTGATGTCAAGTCAGTTCATTGAAGAAATCTTAGAAGTATTTTAGTGTATTTTTTAATCTCTTACCTAATTCAGCTGAAATGGCCTCTGGCACTGGTACTTTAAGATTCTGGGAAAGACAACGACAAAATGAATTATGCAGTTTGTAACTATATTTGTTAGTTACATTAACAAATAAATAAAGTATTCAGTAAGTCAGAAATGCATTCTGAGAGAAAAGAAATTGATTTGGTTAAAAAAAAAGCAGCAGAATTACTTACTGCTGTTCTATCCATAAAGAGTGAGTGGAAATCCAGGAAGAAGCGCCGGCTTTCTTTGGAGCTGGTTTGCTTGTGCATGTCAGCGTAGAGATAACAGAGCTACAGAAGTAAGACGACGAGAAAGAGCATCATATTGCTGTCAATGTGAAGTCACGCATCTCATTTAGTAAATTATACACATTTTCTCAATCGGAAACTCAAAGCTTCTTCTAGATCAGTGAAGGCATTCCTCAAAGATCAATCCTTCGCCTGCTTTCATTTATATATTTATTCATTCTCTTATCCACATCTCTTTTTTTCAGCACAGCATTATACACCTATTGTAACTATTCATGACAGATTCCTTAGCAACACTGTAACACTAAGTGACATGACCTTTCATTACAATAATCATAGCCAATGTGTTTTTGAATTAATCACAAATACACTTTTATGCTGTAGTAAATAATCCCTTGAGCACCAAATGTGATATAATCCACAGATGGAAATAGTCCCCCACAAGCACAGTTATTACACCTGTTTGAGTAATGTAAGCTAAAAACTAAAGTGCCCAGCTGTTAAAGGAAGTTTCCAGGAAGTTACTGAGAATTTTTAAATGAGTCTGCATATACTGTATATATATATATATATATATATATATATATATATATATATATATGTGTGTGTGTGTGTGTGTGTGTGTGACCCATTGTGTGTGTGTTTGTTTGCATATATACCAAAGGCGCCGGGTCAAACTGCGAGACAACATGATGGAGGAAGACAGCGAGATGAGCCGGCCGAGACTTCAACAAGTCTACACTCTGGAAACAGCTACACTGTCCGTTAATCTGAAAGAGAGAGAGAAGGGGGTCAAATTCATTAAATCGATTCAAAACCACAAACTGCTCCTGTAACTCCACATCAGCAGTCTGAATTTAATGAAATGGCTGTGGTGACTGCATCATTCATTCAGGGGAACATGGTTATTGTTTCCATATTTTTTTTATTTTATTTAAATGTTCGTGTAGATTATGTTTCATCCAATCAACTTTTTGTCCTATTGGCACATAATTGTTTTTATATAATACCTGCTCTTGCTGTGAGTCAAAGTAGTCATCTTCTGCTCCGATGATCTGGGGGTTGAGGAGGTACGGAGGGCTACCCATACTACACTGGGCACTTGAGTCCTGAGTAAAAAAATTGGCATGATTATATGCACTGATAGACAAACTCACACCATTACATGCCCACTTGTACTCCACTGAAAATTATACTTCAGCTTGTCTTCAAATTGACTTCACAGTGATATTACAAAACCACAGGTATTACAATAATCATACTTCAGAGTGTCTGTCTGTGTGTAAGAGAGAGAGAGAATATTACTGTGTCAGGAGTGTCCCCAGTGTCTGGTGATGGGCAGAAGTTCAGGCCGTCTCGGCGGATGATGTCTGGGCTTTGACACGGTGTCTCTCTTTTGCCTGGACTCTCTGAGAGGGGGCTGCTGTGCATCTAATACACACAGACAAACACACACACACACAAATACACACAGAGAACAACACAGCACTTAAGCCAAATTGATTGTTTAGTCTAGTGCTGAATAATGGGAAATCCCCAGAGATTGGAAAGTAGGACTATTTTATCCCTATTTATAGTAAGATTAGGTTGAGATAAAAAAGATTGTTATTACAAGGGAGCCTGTGTAAGCTGTATTTTCAGAGAGGCTTCCTGTTGTCTTTAACATTAGATCGTGGGTACTTCACCTGATCCATGGTAAATTAGTTCTTGTCATAAAAATTGCATAAAGCACAAACCACATACAGTATGAAAAGTTTCATATTACGTTGACATCGCTATTTTAGTCATGGAGGTTCTGTCTAAGGTTTTTACATAAACATTATTGACTATTCTCTTCATAGTTTATATGAATAATCAAGTGTAAACTACAAGAAAATTGTGTTCTCAGAGTTCAAATACAAATCTTCAAATTGCTTTTTTCATCTGACCGACAGTCCAAAATGCAAAGATATCAAATGTACAGTGATATAACAGAGACACTTGAAGCTTCAATCCTCGTTTAAGCATCTACCTACACTACCTTGAACAGCTGGCAAAAAAACACACTTGACAGAGTAAGGGCAGAGTGCTTCTAGGTCATGTAGTTCACCACATTAATTGCTGTGTTCTGTCATTATACCCACAGAGTTATTGTTGGTCGAGGGCCCGTCAGTACCGCTGTCACCCCATGAGGACGGGGTCTGTTCCTTTAGAGAAGGTTCACGGCCCCCCTCCTCAGCCTCACCATCTCTGCACCCTTTTGCTCCATCCTGAAACACACGTGTACATCAGTTTACCGTCTATCAGTTGCAATTACCAAAGGTCCTGTAGATTAAAGAACCTGCAGTGACCTGTGTTAATGTGAAATGTGTGGAAGTGACAGAAAAGTTTAAGTTTAATTTATAAAATGTCACCCCTTGTCACAGGATATAAAGAATGCAAAAGACAAAGAGTTTGAACACATTTTGAGTGATGATGAGTGTGTGTGTGTGTGTGTGTGTGCGTGTGTGTGGTTGTGTGTGTGTGCTTCTACAACACCTGTAATGCTGCTTTGCTGAGCTGCTCCTGCAGCAGGGAAATGTGCTTCTTGGCCTCCTGGATCTCCTTCAGTAGTTTAGGCCGAGGGTTTCTGCTGTACTCCTCCTCCTTTGCCTTAACCCACATAAATCCCAAAGAAGCCCAGTGTTGTAGACACAAGCCACACATGAAAAAGTATGCTTAAAAGATATTTGATGATCTCTTGACATGATTAATGTGATAATAAATTAACTGGTGGAAACTTGATACAAGGCAGACAAACCATAATCAACACATTCAGGAGTCTGTAATATCCAGTTTATATAAAATCGCTTTGTCCAAGAAAACACAGTAATAAAAACCTCATTGTAGAATACACACACCTGTAAGTCCTGTTGCTCCTTGATTAGCATCTTTTGTGGGATGTCGGCCTTCTGGTTGTGCATGGTTTTGTTCTCACCCTTAAATAAGGAAAGAAAAGAGGAAACACTGATGTAAAATAGTCAGATACACTGAAAAAACACATTATTACATAATTATTCCTATTATACACAACTGTGATTGAAGCTTTAGGTTTTCAAAGGAAAAGAGAGAAGTGATACTAATCAGACTCAAAGTGAAAAAGAAAAAAGGGGAATGTGGACACTTGTAGATAAATAAAGGTTATGATTGACATGACCATTTACAACAACAAAGTTACTTTACTTTAGTTTTCCACGTCTTTACATTCAATATTAGAGCTGAAGGAGAAAGATGGTGCACGGTGCAAATAAGTAGATAATTCTAACAAAGAAACAAATCGTGGAAAAAATTCATCGTTGACAGAGCGCAGCTGTTTTGGCAAAAGCTCACAGTAATGGACTGAGACGATAGGGCTAATTAAAAATAATGAGCTGTGTGGGTTGAACCAGCCAGATAAGCTGCTGATATCATGAACTTTGTCACAGTTAAAAATACCATCATTTCAGAGACTGAAGTTTCAGTTCACCATTGAGAGCTATAGAGAAGAAGTTTGAACAGAAACATAAGAGAGGCTACACTTGGAAACAACTTTATAACCTGTTCAGCTTTTGTTACAAAAGTAAAAATTTATATTGTAATCTTAAGTAAGTTCTCTCAACTTATCAATATCAAAGCAATATAATATATATAAATATCCCAATATAATATTCCTACAATATTCCTATAAAGCCAACCTTTACAGCGACCTTAACATACAGGGCCTTATTTTAATGATGTCAGCCATCATGCAAACACAGTCCTGTCACAGTTTTCCTATGGAAGTAGCCTGCATCTGTTGGGTAAGTTACTGGCTTCAAATGAACCTTGTGGACTGTTGACACAGCGATAGTATTGGTCATGAACAATTATATGCTTTTTTTTTTTTTTTTTTATAAATCACAGACAATAAAGCTTAGAATATCTCCTTAAAATATTTGCAGTGGCAATTACAGTAGAAGCATTATAAAGTCTATATGAAAATGTATCCCTATAATCAATTTCACCCTTAAATAAAAACAAAATAAGGCAGATAGTAATAATGGAGGGGTTTGCGCATGGTTTCAGGAAAAAAGGCCTACAGTATTTTAAATTCTTTATCTTTAATTCATGATATTCATCTATTACTCAGTATTGTATTTATACATCATACTTTTATAAAACTACATCTTATTTGTATTTTTGGTCTTCCATGGGATTGTAACAGATTTTGACACAGGAGAAGTTGATTTTAACAGCAAAATCAGATATTGACTGTCTGTTTCTCACATGTTTTATCTTTCATAAATACACAACAAGAGAACTTTACATCAGATCTCATCAGGAAATCTTGGCACAACCGGTTTTGTATTTATCTGTATGCTGCTTAATATTGTGTGAAGTGTTCCCATCCTTTATAAAAGAGATAGAGCTCTTAAAAAAGAAGATATTACTCTCTTCGTCTTCCTTACCCCATCTGACGGAGATGAGGTGGTGTGCTCCTGGGGCCTGCATTGCTCCCCACCGGGCAGTGCAGGCGAGTGGGGCACTGAGAGGGAGGAAAGAGGGCTGACCTCTGCCCCTTCCTCCCTCTCTTCCTCCTCTCCCTCCTCGAGTGGGATCTGAGGAAGCCCTGGAGGCCTCCCCAGCACTGTCAGGGCTACATAGGAGCCCGCTGCCAGAGAGGAGTCATGGGAAAGGAATGAAGGGAGGGTGATGAGAAAGAAAAATACTCATACATAAAAGCATCCAAGCCACCGTGAAGATCTGATCAGCAAAACCAGCTGAGAGAAAGAGCTCAGTCAGAAAAACATTTGACCGCATGAAGGGAATGAAAACAAAATAATAATATAATGCTGATACATTATGTCATGAATTATGTCTTGTCCAAGCCAGCTGTACACACAAGTGAATGGAAAAACCCCTAATGTTTCTCTCTAGAAATAAAATCCCAATATTTATTATCTCAACAACTAAGACTCAAGAGTTGCATGTTTGGGAGGCATGTTTGTTTGACTGACAGATGTCTCAGCCCACAACTGTCAGCCCAAATATGAATTTTATGGCTCCAGTAACTAAAACAAATGGCTGCAAGCAGAAAACTCGAGCTCCAGAGTTTCAAAACACCCCTCAAAGAACTTGGTAGACGTGCTACGTCCATGTCTTTCCGTAACCTAGTGATGACAAGTCATTAATAACCATTACAAGACTTGCTTACCCTTGTTGCAAAGTAGTTAACATTATGTCCCTAAAGTGCAATCAAAAGCCCTGACATTTAAATATGAGATATAATCAGAAGTTCATACTTACATTTTATGAGCTTCACAACCTCAGTGTGGTTTGAATCTGTAACTAAGGTCCCGTTAACCTGTCAGAAAACAAAATGCATTGGCATATATTTCTCTTCAGTCCTATCTCAGCCCCTCGACCATTTGTGACTGCTGAAGAGGAATTTTTTTTTTTAAACAGTTCACAATATACTTACATTTTTTTTAAAGCTTACATAATTTCCCCAAAACTGCTGGCCACTGTAGTTTTTAGAAATCAAGAGGAGGGGACTATTTTCAGATGCAGATTGCTGTAGCCTCTAGTGAGTCTTTACAGCAGCAGGACAGAGCATTTGGGATCAACTCCAATAAACTACGGTGGCTACATTCAGCCAGTGAAACGCTGTGGCTCACTGATGTGTTTTTAATAGTTATTTTGGACAACAATAGAGCTCTGCGGCACAGAGGAATAAGATATATCAGCCTTTGGTTTTGGCCTTTTCAAGGGACTTTTTGTCTGCAACAAAAACAGAAAGTGGCCTAACGTATCCTCTAACCACCTGAATAATTAAGTAGGGCTCCAAAGTACAGCACTGAATTGAAGAACATTCCACAAGGATCAATTCTAGCCTCTCTGTAATTCTCCAGTTACATGTTATTTGCCTGTTAGTATTCAACTTTTATCATTATACATATTATCATCGTTAATATTTTACAGATCATTTTTAAGCCGTAGCGTCGCCCAAACTACATAATGCATCAGCTGTTTTAACCCCTAAACAGCAGGGGCCCTCTGTCAGAGCACCACACGTGACTCCCCACACCTGGCTGGTTAAGACTGGATGCACCAATCTGATTCCGACCTTATTAAAGCGATCATGCCTCGACCTAACCCTAACCCGGTAAATAAAGCTTTCTGTGCTAATGGGGCAGTGAGATAATTCTGACGAGTAAAAGCTGCTGCTGTTACTTCCTGCATGTACTTCACAATAAATAAATTTGAATGTGACGGCAGCGGAAGGCCTTTTACATTTAAGCCACAAGTGTTGACGATGCCAGTTAGCTAACTTAACCTAAAGTTGACGTGTTGTGAATTTTCAATAAATTAAGAGAGTTCTGGCATTGACTCGGTATTTAGGATTGGCAGAATTTTAGGTACCTGAATTTGTATCTAGCCAGAAGAAGTCGGATCCCTACAAAAAAAAGCTAAGGCTGAACATATCCTTTAACTGACTTTCAGACCCAGAGATGCTCAGTTGCTGAAACCTGGAAAAAAAGAAATAAATACTTAAGGCTCACCTTAATGATCCTATCTCCTGTTTGAACACCTGCTCGCATTGCAGCCCCATCTATAACACAAAAGTCAGAACAGTCATAGATGAGGCTTCCACAGGTGTGCTTGATTTTATGGTTAATGTTAGAATGAGGTTAAGGTAAGGGTTGGGTCTGGCATTAAGTTGTGATGGTTAAGGTAAGGGCTATGGCTAGGGCATACATAATGTCAGTGAGGGTCCTCACAAGCATAGAAAGACAAACGTATGGGTGTTTTTGTGTTTGTGTGTGTGTGTGTGTGTGTGTAAGAGCCTTACTTACCTTCCTTTACCAGCTGCACAAACACAGGGTTGTCTCCACTTACGGTCAGCCCAAAGCCATTTTCATCTCTCTGGATTATCACACACCGCTGGACAAGACCTGTCATTTGCACACAAACATATTTCATTTCATTACAAAGATGATCAAACTTCACAGTGTGATGTTTGTGTTTTTGTCCAAACTGAAAAGTCATCTCATAATAGCTTTTGGCAGATCTAGTTTTAGAAATCAAAGACTCTGCCATCCAACCTAGACGTACGCCCTACATGTACATCCTGTAACTAATGAAGTAAGTTTGGTCTCACACTTTTGCCTAAAATAAATTCTGGCACAGAGTGGATGGTGCAGTCACTTGTGGGAAAAATTATCCACACAGGAAGTGGCAAATCAAGAGAGTGAAAGAGAAAAGGTTTTTAAATAGAGGCCTGTTCTATTTCCAACAAAAACTGGATTCACCAGCAAGAGATCTTGTTCCTCTCTTCGGCCATTGGTATCCTTTGTATAGTAATTTATTAACAATAATAAAACTCAATTGAAAACAAAACTTTCTGTTCTAGTAAAACTTTGTATAGATAAAACATTAAATGAGCAAATATATTAAAATGATGCAAACAAGCAATGCAAATTATAGAAACACTGAGTAGAATAAATTTATGATTGATTCAAAATGGTATACAAGCTATGTATCACATGATATGTGTCTGCTATTAAATGGTGTTACGGTCATCTCTGCAACACAGACAGAATATGCATGGTTTAGTGTCAAACAGAAGAAATAAAACTTTGTTTTATACAGTCTCTGGTTGTAACATGCGCTGGGGTGAAATGTAACATTATGTAATACAAAATATGAGAAATACATTATATCGAATGCTTTATATTCAACACTTAAATTCTTTATTATAGATAACTGCTGTGTCTGTGTGTGTGTGTGTAGCGGTGATCCAAATAGCTTGCTTACTTGATTGGAGAATCATGATTGGAGAAATTGGACGCGTTACAACCGACCCATGTTACAACCTTACCCGGTCTCCCCTTATTTATTTATAAAGCGTCGTAGGAAACCAGAGTTACAAGGTACAGTACAATGCAAACCTTGAAGAAAAATACTAAATTAAAAACAGTAGTAGTAGTTCCTACTACTACTACTACTTCATTAATTTCAGCCAAATTTAATGAACCTCAAATTAAGTGTTTTTATAGTGTTATAATAACAATGCTATGGTTTAAAAGTGCCCTGATGAGGTTTTTTGTAACAAAGTTATGTTTACATACATTTTGTCCTCAGCAACACGCACTGTGTGTATCCTTGAGGCGTAACAAATATTCGGAGTGCATTTCTTTCCTCATAAAACATTTCTAAAGCTGATATTCTTTTAATATTTTTGAATTGTACAATTTTTACACCCATGTTCACTAGCTTTCATGCACCATAGCTTTCGGTCTTCTTCTTCACTGCCTTTGTGGGCACATTAATAGCCTTAGTCGCTCGTTATGTCCAACAGCTGTCAATCAGCTGAAAAGCATTAAATTATATGAAGGACTGGGCCTTGCGTGGCAGGCGTGGTTGTAAAAAAGAACTACTAGTGGTCAAAAACTCCACAGGAAAACTTTAACCTATTTATATCTATTAACCCACTAGGCTATGTGTTCTATGCCATCCAATGACCATATGCCAGCACAGCTAATAGTACCCATTTGAATCTGCCAAGTCCTTGTGACCTTCATTCAGAAAGCTGAGTCCTTCACAGTCCTACACTTCACCAGCACCCTGAAATCTGCAAAGACCATCTGCTTGATCAAGAGCACTCCATCTGGGATGTTCTTCCTCTAGCCAAGATGTTTAGTGACTCACTATCTGCCTCAGTGGTTTTGTCTGCTGGCCTCCATGAAGGAGCCTCAAGACTTCAGGGTGAAGAAAAGGGCAGGAAGGATTAATGTCAACCCTGCAACCCAGGCAACCACCTTAAAAACTTGTGTCTGAGCGCTGCCTACACCGTCTCTTTTCTCCCCTTCGCCAGTCCGTGGTAAAGACTTTAGCACAATTCATATTTTAAAGTGTAAAGCAAATGTATGGCAAAATATACCATAGTCAGGTAAAAATGTATGTAATTCATAACAAAGTGTCCTCGCTGAACTCAAAGCTGTACATTTAACTAGAGTTGCAACTAGAGTGACCAGACAACCCGAAGAATTCGGGACAGTCACGAATTACGAGGAGTTGTCCCGACTCCTGTCCGGTTTGTCCCAAAAATTAGACTTAACATGGGTTTTGATTATAGCCTAATTAATCATTAAATACTGAGTTGTGTAGTTCTCTTGCTCCAGCAGGGCTTGCAGGTTATTCAATTCAATTTTTTTTATATAGCGCCAAATCATAACAACAGTTATCGCACAGCTCTTTTCATAAAAGAGCAGGTCTAGACCGTACTCTGTGATGCTATTTACAGAAGCCCAACAGTTCCCACCAAGAGCAGCACTAGGCGACAGAGGCAAGGAAAAACTTCCTTTTAAGAGGCAGAAACCTCGAGCAGAACCATGGCTCAGGGTGGGTGGGCGGCCAGAGAGAGAGAGAGAGAGAGAGAGAGAGAAAAAGAGAGGGATGGAAGGAGAGAGAGAGGGGAGGGAGGCAGCCTACACTATATACACACAGAGGTACAGACAGTAAAGGTGATGTTGCTATAGACTAAATGAAAAATGGTACAGATATTATCGTAATGTTAATGATTATAATAACAATAATAACAATAGGACTAGTAACAATAGTTGTTGTAGCAGAGGGTGTCGAGCAGGAACACGGGGGCAGCAGGTGACCCGCAGCCACAGATCCAGACTCCACAGCTCCAGAGCCAGAAACACCTGCAGGAAGTGATAGGAGGAGAGAGGAGAGGGACGAGAAAGCACAAGGCTACCGGAAAGGGGAGAAGTCGAGTTAGTAACATGCAATAATGGGATGAGGTTGCATACAGAGGGAGAGAAAGTAGAGGAGAGAGGAGCTCAGTGCATCATGGGAAATCCCCCGGCAGTCTAGGCCTATAGCAGCATAACTAAGGGATGGTTCAGGACTCACCTGAGCCAGCCCTAACTATAAGCTTTATCAAAGAGGAAAGTCTTAAGCCTACTCTTAAATGTGGAGATGGTGTCTGCCTCCTGAACCCAAACTGGAACCTGGTTCCACAGGAGAGGAGCTTGATAGCTGAACGCTCTGGCTCCTAGTCTACTTTTGGAGACTCTAGGAACCACAAGTAACCCTGCATTCTGGGAGCGCAGTGCTCTGGTGGGGTAGTAAGGTACTATGAGCTCTTTAAGATAAGATGGTGCCTGACCATTAAGAGCTTTGTAGGTAAGAAGAATGATTTTAAATTCTATTCTGGATTTTACAGGAAGCCAATGCAGAGAAGCTAAGACAGGAGAAATATGATCTCTTTTCCTGGTTCCTGTCAGAACACGTGCTGCAGCATTCTGGATCAGCATCATTTATCTGTACATTGTGTCAACAGCTTTGTTACAGCCACAAAGTAATACTCGTGCTCCTTTCCCCTTTTTGTTTTCTTGTGGTTAGTGGAAGTTACAGTTGCGAGGACAGGGAAAGTGTAGCTTCAGGCAGCCACAGCGGAGACATCTTCAATTCAGTTCAATTTTATATATACAGCACCAAAACACAACAGCTATCTCATAGCGCTCATAAAAGAGCCGGTCTAGACCGTACTCTGTGATATTATTTACAGAAACCCAGCATCCAACATGTGTGTAGCGCAGACAGATGTGACACTGCACTGATGAAACGAATAAAATAAAAATTAGGTCAAAGATCAGAATTTACCCACTGTTACATATCCACAGTTGTGTTTTTCCTAATGACAGCGAGGTGGCTTCATGAACAAAAATAATTAATTTAAGCGTTGTTTTGATATTCACGTGTTAATGTTCATTGACACTGAATGTACCAGTAGCCACGCCCCCCCCCCCCCCCCCAAATTTTGGTCTCATCTTGTCACCCTAGCTGCAACTAACAATTATTTGCATTATTCATTAATCCGCCAATTATTTCCTTGTTTTATAAATCATTCTTTCATTTCGTAAAAATACATTTTCATGTTATTTCTGACCAGTCCCAAACACAATGATATTGTGCATACTATAATATAAACAAAGAAAAGCAACAGATCTTCATATTTGAGAAGCTAGAACAGGAAAATGTTTTCATTTTTGCTTGAAAATGTAATTAACCAATTAATCAAAATATCAAAAGTTGCTGATTCATTTTCTGTTGCTTGATTAATTAAGTTAATTGTTTCAGCTTTAAATTTAATCTCAACTCAATGTCTCATCGCTGTTAATACTTTAAAAGTTTAAAATAATGCAAAAAAGTCCTAGTCCAATAAAGGGAAACACTGTTATTTATTTGTTAAGCCAAGCGCTTGATTGCCACCACCGGTACTTTACATCTAAACCTTCCTACTGGATTTAGAAAGTGCTTTACAGAAGAAACGCTGCAGCAAGTTAAACAATTTAAGAAACAATCAACTGAAACTAAACTAAATTGTATAAATCAAGCACTAAAGTCAGAGAACAGAAATATTCTGTGTCTCTCTTACCAGTAGGGTCAAACTCATGTTTGAGGGAGACAGAGGATTTCTCATTCTTAGGTTTCTTGTCTGTGGGGTCCTTGTTGAGAATGCTTGGGGTCCTAGAGAGACATGTAGCAAAGGGAGGACACAAAGCATTTAATAAATAAATACATTTCAAATTTAACTAAAAGCATTAAAGATACACTTCCTGACTTTGATGAAGCTTTCCCTAAAATCCCAAATTTCCTCAATAAAGATGTTTTGAACTTCAACAGTGAACTGCATAAATATCAAAAGAAGTTGCTGATCTAGGTTCACTACTGGGTGCTGTAACAATATCAGGGAGTGTATCTTTAAGACAATATAGAACAATTAAACGTACAATATAGTGTTAACAATGTTAATATTCATATTATTATGTCAACATTCAAGTGTTCAGTGTGGTCGTAGAAGTCAGAAAGAACGTTAGCACAAAATAAAAGAGGATTGACATGTTTCATTGCAAACTGGCAAGCCAGCAAATACTGATTCTGGCTCAATTTACACGATATCAGCCCAATAATGGCTGACTCGATAGATGTGCATCAGGAAGGGCGTCTTGTTTCAACACTGCCTGGAGGGGATGCATATTAAGCACTTCATTTCCTGCATTCTGGGGAATTTTTCTATACCAATTTCTGCTAATTCTGCAATTTCTGCATCACTATATGAAAATATCTTTATTTATGTAAAAGGAAAAGTCAGGCGGCAAATGACAACACACAATATAAAAATATAATGCGGTCAGGCTCTCTGGCATTCTGTATGCTTTCAGATATGTATTCACTTGTAAATCAACTTATCTCATTTAATATCATTCCCACTGTGTCAACACACACGCAGGCATGATTCAGTCTCCTCTTCTGTGTCTTTGCATGGGGATGTAATCTCTTTAAATGTGCATGTGGCACCTATTTGTGTCAATGATAAATTAATTTATTTTAATTTATTTTTTAAACCCCTGGACTTTAATAGCGTATGTGTCTCAGCAATATTTCTGCCCATGTTCACAACTTTCTGCAAATTCAAAATCTCTCCCACATATCTGTGATATTCCCAGTGAGTTTTGGAAAGGTGGTAAAAGTTTCAAGCCCTAAATAAACTCACCATCATCTTTTCTAAATGTTAACACATATTCCACTAAATGACAGCAAATCAAAGTTGTACTATTTAAAGAATAAAGTCTTAATTCAATCAAAATAAAGTCATAATATTTTTTTTAATCTACCTTCCCTGATGACATGGTAGTATCCCCTTCAGACCATCTGACAGACTGTACTGGATGAAACAAGTACACTCCTCTTTATCCGAGGTGGAAAACCGAAACTAACTATAAACACTTCTGATAAATCTCACCACAAATCCACACAAATGTTCACTTCACCACCTCCGATGAAGTGCAGCTCACAGCCGCTGGCACTCATTCTGATGAAGTCAATTGAGAAACTGGTTCTCCATCATATCAAAGACAACATCCCAGTGACCTGGGCCCTCACCAGTTTGCATTCAGAAAGCAAACAGATCTAAAGAGGATGCCATCTCCACTCAGCCCTCACACACCTTTAGAAAAACAACACCTACATCAGAATGCTGTTGGTGGATTTCAGCTCAGCATTCAACACAATTGGCCCACATGAAACTATCTGGATTAAGTTTCACGCTCTGCAACTCGATATTGCACTTCCTTACAAACAGACCCCAGACAGTTCGGAAATCAGCCTTACTGAGTGGTGCTCAGAGAACAACCTACAGCTCAACATCAGGAAAACCAAGGAGCTCAATGTTGATTTTGGGAAAAAGGAGGTGATGACACACCCTCCTGTTTACACCAGTGGAGCTGGGAAACAGTTGCAGGTTACTGGGAATCAACATGCATGTAAAATAGTTTTATTTTTCAGAAGTTGAGTGAAGCTGAATAAATCCTGTCCCTTCAAGTTCTTCACCTTGATGCCAATGAACCAAAACACAACAGCCTTCTTTGCCACTCATGCAGTGTACAGTCACGCCTTCCCATAGACAACCACTGTAGTATTCTCCATCCTCATATCAATACAGTGGAAGGACAAAGTTGTTGATGTCTAATTTTTAAATAACATTTTTAGAAAGACCTTAACAGCACCCTCTTTCTTAATAATAATAATAATAATAATACTTATTTGTAGAGCACTTTTCAAAAACAAGTTACAAAGTGCTTTAACAAGTGTAAAGAATAATACAAAAAAACAAGATAAGAGCATGAAAACAATCTTTCTTGATATTTGCTTAACTGATTTAATGTGCATTGTGGGAGGTGGACCTGATGGCGGTAGGTTATATATTAATAGACGAGGTTCACCTCTCCATGTGCCCCATACAACCACTCCTACTCGTTCCGCAAGAGGGGTTTTTGTTTGTGCTGCTGTTCCTCCCGTGGACAATGGGGGCCCTGGGGTTTTAACAATGCCTCCCACGTCAGAGCCAACTTACTATACTGTGGCTTTGTGGGACAGATTCCCGGAAACGGAGACCAGAGTTTTTGGCTTTGCTCCAGTTTCCCGAACGTGGGAGAAGGCTGGAAAATAAATGGAGGAGGGAGATGGAGGAAGGAGGAGGTGCACTGCACAAGTGTCTCTGAGGGAAGAGAGAGGACAGGGCTCGTTCAAATTAGCTCCCAGAGAGTGTGAACAATCCTCTCAAAACTAACCTCATGGTACAGATAAAAGATGATGTCATTGAAATCCTGGGATATCAGATTCTGACAAGTAGAAGACAGAAAACCTGCATCTTCCTTTATGTCGAGCTCCTGTAAAATAACCCAGATTAAATAGCTGAAACGGATTCCACTCTTCTACTCTCCTAGACACAACAAAACTGTCACAATTACAGACGAAAAGGATGAAATTAGGCTGGAAAGGACAGTATTAAGGTGGTAACCTTGTCTTTTTCTCTGAGATTGGAAGGCCCACTTAGGGAGCCTCCTTGCTATGGTTGGGGGAGATTAGAAGTTGATAAAACATGGCGAGACAAGCACAGATTGAATCCTGCAGTGACTGGCAGCTAAGTAAGTACTGCTGGATAAGAGGGAGGAATTCAGCTTCCAGCTTCGATTCAGGTCAAGTGATAACTTTAAAACTTTGTGGCACAAAAATACTGTCGGAGACACCATAAAACATTACTTTTTCACACAAGAACTGATGGCATAATGAATGTATGGTGACTATAGTGACTCCAAAACTAAAATGTTCACAGCTATAAGGAGAGACAAGTTTAACTAATCCCTTTCCCTGTGCAACATTAGTCAGATCATTGCTTAGCAATTAAATGTAGTAAATGGTAAAACTCAAAACCTCCAAAATACATGGGAAAAATTGTAATAGATTAAAACACTGCCTTTATCTGCTAATGTAAGTTAGTAGCTCAAAGCAAAGGAGCACAATTAACTACATTATTTTGAGGGGTTAAAAAAAAAACATGTTTAAGACGAGCTCATTCACATCCAAAGTGTAGTATTTCCCTACAGTTAAAGGTAATGTTAATGTGATATCATCATGTATGTAGCCATCAAGTGGATATTTAAGACCCATTTTTAAAAGAAATGTCAACTCAAAACAAGTCAGCTTTAAGTAAAACATATAGTAGTAGTAACACGGAGCTAACATCTATAATCTAATCAATGCATGGGGCGACATACTCAACATTTTTTTGAGGGTGGTGTCTTTTTTCAGCTATCCAAACCCCAATGGACAAACTTTGTAACACTTTCTGAATTACCTCAAACATGATTTTTGGCATTTCTGTACTGCAATTTCTAATTACTTATCAGCCGGCATAAATCTAATGCATTGTTCCGTTGTTCCTGCAGAGTACTTTTGAAGCACCAAAGGTTCAAAGGTTCACCAATCAATGATTACAAGAGGAAAAGTGTTCATTTCCATGTGAAAAGTTTAGTGGGACCACGATTAAAGGGAATGATTAATTTACTTATTGTATTAGTGTCACTCGGCTGGCATACACGTCTGTTGGCTAATTTGTCCAGAATTTCTTTACTTCCTTACTGCACAGTTATCAAAGGCGGACAAGAAAAACTCTAGCAGCACTCCACTTGTGCCTTAGATGCCAAAAATACCAGACAATTCCTCTGGGATGATAACAGCAAAGTACTCAACTCCAGAGGATTGGAAACAAAAGTTCACTAAGAGAGACGCAAAAACTCCACATACAGTAGATCTCCAAATTTATTATGATTGCAGCAAGATGTAGGGAATCGTTGATTTTTTTTTCTTTTTATGTTAATCCACAAATTGATTAATTGACTCATTGTTTCAACTGTGAACTGTTAGTAGTAGGTAGTTTTAATTTAAACCAAAACATTTCATAAACTCTTCACATTTTTTGTGTGTAAAAATCTTATTTTGTAAAGTAACTAAAGCTGTCAAATAAATCTAGTGAAGAAAAAAGCACAGTATGTCCCTCTGAGATGTAGATCAGTAGAAGTAGAAAAGACTCAAGTAAAGTATAAGTACCTCAAATTTATACTTAATAGAATACTTGAGTAAATCTACTTAATTACTGTCCACCACTGATTGTACTTAACAGTCTAGGGTGTTTTACAGCCTTGAACATTTAGCTACTTGATTAGATAATTCCTGGGAGTTGACAAGCTTATATTGAATTTGGATGTTTGTGGTGATGCAGCAGTGGGAGCCAAGTGGTGTCGGATGCAAACGCCCAATGATGCACTCTGGAAAGCTCAAACAATTAACCAGTGAAGTTATTGTTTACTGAAAGGATTAGTCTGGTGTAGGGTTGGGTATCGTTAAAAAAATTTGAGTGTTGAAAGTAAACAACGGAAAGTTATTTTGTTAACTTTCAATCAATAAACTGAAGTGAAAGATTGCTTTTTCCTTTAGCTGTGAGTCGCAAACCTTCTCCAAAGGAGACGTATACACGTATAAAACAAGTAAGGAGTCTGTTTAAACAAGTCGCTTAACTACACTAAAGACTCTCAAACAGAGGAAACGAGAGGCTGTATGTCCAGCCGATCAAACCAACTGCACCTGAATCTGCAGCCGGAGGCTCCGTGAGTAAAATCAGCTTTTTT